AAAGAAAGAAAGAAAGAAAGAAAGAAAGAAAGAAAGAAAGAAAGAAAATCAGATAGTGTTTAATCTTTGAAAATGTCCCTGACTATTCAGTTGGTACCAGATAATGATAATTACTCTGTGCCCTAGAGAGACTTTGAAATTAGGAAATGCTGATATTTCATAATACAAATTTCTGAATCCTAGGAAGAAAAGCTTGGACAGCTTCTGAATTTAGGGAAGAGATCTTCTTGCAGATGAATCAGAATACTTCCGATTCCAAATTCATTGTCAAATGTGTTTTGTTTGCTCTAGAATGATAGGTCCACAAATGTAAAGCTGTAAGTAATAAATTACTTTCTCATTGTGGGAATTGCTAATGAGAAAGTATATTCGGTAAAAAGAAATATACTTTAAAAATAAAAGGTTGTACATAAAAAAATAGATAGATGCAACTGATATAAGTTCCTTGATATTCCCTAGGGGTTCTCTCAAAGCTTGATGGGATCAGCTTTTCTTATATATATGCTACTATTTTTCCCCAATCTTTCTTGTCTCTCCTATATTTTCTTATAGCTGTAACTAATGCTTTAGAATTTCAAAAACTTAGAAGTTTAGTAAGAAAGACCTCTTAAAAATGTATGGAATAGAGCTGGCAAGATAGCTCAGTGGACTAAGCTCTTGCTTAGGTAAGCGCAGGCACCAAGGGTTCGATCCCTGGCACCACATGCCATGCTGGCCCCGCCCCTGGGTGCGCTGCCAGGCATGATGGTACTTGCCTGTAGTCCCAGCGCTAAGGAGGCTGAAAACAAGAGGATCACTATGAGTCTGAGCTGCATAGTGAGACCCTGCACACTCACAAAAAGCACAGAATAAGTTATACCCTTATAAGGATGTACTGTAACTTCCTTAAACCACACCAATGTAGTAATGTCTTCAAACTTTGCTATTAGGAAAATATTTGTGAACTTATTTGTACATATTTATGTGTGTCTTTAATTCCACTTTTGAGAGTCATTCTTAGCAATAAATTTGCTAGGCCAAAAATACAATATTTTCTAGTAAGTCATGCTTTTTTGTCTGCATCATGGTATGCCAATCATTGAAATCATGGACTTTTATAAAAATTGAAGTGGATTCATAAGACGCTGACAGTGCGGAGATGGGGGGAAGACTCAAATCAGCCCCCTTAAGGATAGAACAGTGATGGAAAAACTTTTTTTTTTCAAAGTTTTATTGATAGGGCTGGAGAGATGGCTCAGTGGTCTAAAGCACCTACTTGGAACAAGCTTAGCAAAAGCATCAGGGACCGCGGTTCAATCCCCCAGCACCACA